CCCTGCCAAGCCCGGTGCTCATAGGCGCTAAAGTGATCAGGAAATGCAAATCTAAACCTGCCGTGACCCTCCTTCTCAAACAACAGGGCAGTTAGACAAAAAACTCTGCTCACAAGCCTGTGGAACTAAATTTGCTCACTCTGGTGAAGGCGTAAACAGCTGCTTTGGAGAACAATCTGGCAGTTCCTCGGAAACATTACTTAGCATAGAACCCAGCACTTCTGTTCCCTGGCTAACCCCACGGGCATGAGAGCACACGTCTCTACAAAACTTCTCCGCTGTTGTTCATAGGAACATTGCTCAGAATCGCCAAAAGGTGGAAACCGTTCAAATATCCATTAGCGACGGGGAGGATTAACAATGCATTAAAGCGGCACAATGAAATATTATTCAGCCATAAAGAGGAATGAAATACTGGTTTATGCCACAGATGGGTATTTCGAAAACATGCTGAGAGAAAGGAGTTCCATATGATAGAATTCCAAACATTGGAGGGGCTCAATAGGGAAGTTCTTAGAAACAGAAAGTTGATTAGGGTTTTCTTAGGGTTGGGGCGAGGGGGGGAGGGGAGGGAGGTAATCAATTTTTTTTCTAAAATTGACCGTGGCGATGGTTGCACATATCTGTAACTGTCCTAAAAGCCACCGAAATTTGCGCTTTAACTCCATGAAACTGTGTGGATTGTGCAGAATGTCTCACTCTAAAGTAGAAAGGGAGGTAACTGGGAAAGCAACGGAAAGAAAATAGCGACTGCATCAGCGGGGATGCCGGCAGTCGGTTTAGAACATCTATTTAGCAGATTAGTTTGATCTGTTTCCTGAGAGAAATCTTTGTGTCATCTCTTTTTTGCTCATGTCTTGAGAGAAGGAATATTTTACTATTAATTTGCATTTCAATTCTTTGAAAAATTGCTATGTGCCTACACAAGGTTTTCATAAAAGATTCCCTCATATCTTCAGACAAGAGAAGAAAAAATATTTTTAATCATCTGATATGGAATAACTGTGATCTTTTAAAAATTACACTCTTCACGCCCTCTTTAGAACTCACCGTTGGGTGTCACGCGGTGCCGGGATTGCCGTGTGCCCTAGGCCCCCCACGGTGGGTAATTGGAAACCTTCCATTATCTCCTCTGCTAAATCAGGGTGATGCTGGTATTTTGGGATGCCTCTGTTTTCTGTCTCTTTCAAGTTGACTATCTTCTTCCTCAAAGGGGCAGGGGCCACTGGAGATTATTAAAGGTGAGAGAGAAGGCAGAGAGGCGACTACCAGGTTTGCTTTACGAGTGACATGTTAGCTGCTACTATCCATTTTGCTCTGCATTTAACTCTTCAGCAAGCCAGTGGGGTTTGCTGACATACATGGTGATTGGTGTTGGGGATACCAAGGCACAGAACAGAAAACTTCTGATGGGCAAAGGCAGGGAGCGGCAGGAGGGGCGCCGGTGAGAGGTCAGGGCAGCAAGGAAGGTTCTGGCACGGAGCCCAGGAGAGTTCTGGAAGGAAGAAGCTGAGCTGAGGGCTTTGGTCTGGAATCCGGCTGACAAAGGCAGTCGCACGCCTGGACTTGCACCTTCGACTTGCGCCAGGTGCAGGACTTTCTCCTGAAAGGAACTCCCCAGGAAGCAAACCTGACAAATCACCGCTAGTGGAATGGCCTGCACGGCACTGGCATGCTGGCCTCAGAAACTGAGACAGGCACAGCCAGCCCCGAAGCTTGCACTGACAAGGGTCACCCTAGACCATGGGCAGCTTCCCGTCGAAGGGTGGAAGGATAGTTCTTGCTTATTCATCAGTCTCTCTTTCCCCGTGTACAGCCCCTCGCCTACAGAATTAGGATCTAGCTCCTGGAGCTGGAGAACCCTGAGCTGAAATCAAGCTGGAAAGGGAATCTCCCCAGGAGAGGCATGCTCCATCTGGACAGCCCCAAACCTGAGAACATACTTTGGATGGACAAGCTTCCGCTCTGTTGGCTATTCCTAACTTCTGGCAGAATTCCTAAATGGTTTTACTCGTTTATTATTTGGGGACAGGGTGTTTGGGGCCATGGCTGGCAGTACTCAAGACTTACTCCAAGATCTGTGCTCAGGGCTGATTCCTGGCTCTTGCTCAGGGATCACTCTTAGCAGTGTTCAGGGAACTATATGGGGTACTAGGGATTGAACCTTGGTCAGCCACACGCGAGGCAAAAAGCTTACCCATCAGATCATCCTCTGGCCCTCTGAAAGGCTTCAAGCTAAATTGGTCAAAGTGACTGCAGGTTCTTCTGGGAACAGAAAGAGGCTCCGGGCTCTCCTACCTCCCTGACTCCGCTGTGCGTACACAACCCCCAGCCTGTAACTCACAACGCCTTCCTTCCGCAAGGTCCTGTTAATTGCCGGGCTTCCCACTAACCAGGAGGAAGTAGCACACACTAGTGAGGCAGCCGCTGAGATTTGGAAGATAAGGAGATTTGGAATAAAACTCAGGACCTTGCCCCTTCTGTGAACTGCGAGGCTTTGCGCGCCGATTCCTCTCTACGACTCCCCAGCTTTGGCATTCCCGTGTTTTATACCCTTCTTTCTCGTCTGTTGCATTTACAGTGAGTAAAGAGAGGCCACGCTCCTGAGCCTCGTCCCGCCTGCAGGGGGCTCATCCCCCTGGTGTACTTCATGAAAAGTACTCCCTTTGTGTGCCTCTTTGCCTCCTCATCCTCCTCAAACAAGGGACTCTGCAGGAGTTTCTGTGTGACTTTGAACAAAAACATGACCAATAGAAAAAATGTCAGCTGAGACATTTGTCTCCTGTCTACTGCAGACACAGACACAGGTGCACATGTCTTTGTCTTGTGCAGACACACATGCATACAATTTTTTGTCAAGAGAAGCTAGAGATTGGAAAAGAGTGAGCCAGAGAATTTATAACTGAGAAGCTCAATTTCAAAGACCAGAAGGCTGCTGAGTGTTCACTCGGCACCCTGGAAGAGTGCTCTCACTTCTACCCCCGTGGAAACTGTGGGTCGGAGTTATTTATCACACGCGGGCTCCCTGACAGTTAACTAATATCGCAATTAGTGCCCTGTGTAGGTTCACAGTCTTCAGCCTTGAAGCCCAGGTTTTCTCACGCCAGTCCCTGAGCCTCTGGGGCAGCTTGACGAGAGAGTCCCAGGACCCAGGACCCAGGCTCTTCCGAAGATCGAAGCCTGTGACCTTGCACAGTTACTGTGTCCTCCAAAACAAAGATTCCGAGCTAGCAACTTCTCCCAGCTGAACCCAGGCCTTCCCTGCCCACTCACTCTCCTCAGGGCCACCTGCCACTCTCTCACTCAACATTTCCCGGGCCTCCCCTGTCCCCCGTGGGTCAGAGCTGACCGAGGAGGAGGCTGCAGGGCAAGGGCAAATGTCGCTCTTTTCCTCGAACAAAACCCACACCCCCAGCGCTGGGTGTAGGCAGCCGGGACTGAGCATCTTGTCTCTGGGAGGGCCCAGCTGAAGCGAGTGGCTGCGCGACGGGGGCAGGAGAGGGGCCGACGGGAAGGCACCGGGGTGTATTTTTAACATCCATGTGTTGGATGAGGCGGAGAGCTGCCAGATAGCTCTTTTCGACAGCCTGGAGTTCCTGCTGGAGACAGACCCATGTATGGGAGAGAGAGCCGAAGGCTCAGATAAGCAGAGACCCAGCTCGGCAAGCCAGGCTGAGAGACGCCTGAAGGGCGAGCGAGCCAGCGTCGGGCCCTTCCTGCCGCTCAGCCGGGAGCACCTCAGGCCTGAGGACGCCTGAGGGGAGCTGTTCATCCCGAGCACCTCAGGCTGGGGACAGCTGAAGGGCAGCGCCCGGGGCCTTCCTGCTGCCCAGCCAGGAGTGCCCGACACTGAGGACGGACGCCTGAAGGTCAGCAGCCCGACTCTTCCTGCACCTCCACCAGGAGCACCTCAGGCTGGGGGACACCTGAAGGGCAGCGCCCCGGCCCTGGGTCCTTCCTGCTGCTCATCCGAGAGCACCTCAGGCTGGCAGACGCCTGAAGGGAGCTGCCGGCCGGCCGGGAGCACCTGACACGAAGGGACCCACACTTGGGGGCCAGCGCCCCGGCCCTTCCTTCAGCGCCAACCAGGAGCACCCAGCGCGGCTCCAGCCCCTCGAGGACTCGGCAGTGGACAGAGCAGAGAGGTAGGTGGACAGTCTGTGTGTGGAAGTGCTCTGGAGGCTCCTGTGCGCCCAGGTCCCTTCGGCTCTCACGGCCCCCAAGTCCCCCATGGCCCTCACATCCCTCAGGGCCTTCACATCCCTCGTGGTCCTCACAGCCCCCATGACCCCCACGGCCCTCACAGCCCTTGTGCGTGGCCCTCGCACGGGTTCCAGAGCAGCCTAAGGGGCCCATGGTGTCGCAGGGCTAACGGGTTGGCGGGATGTCCTCGCTCGCGCTGTCCCCTGGCCCCACCAAGGGTCAGGCCTCTCACCAGGGCTCTTGTGCAAGGGCAGCTGCCGGTCCAGCTGCGCTGGACTTGCGGGTATTTTTAGCCTCTTTCTTTGTGTCACTGACCAGACCGTCGAAAGTCGGGGGTGGCTGGTCTTGCTGGGGGCTTCTCGGGGAAGAGCCGCCTGAGGCAGGGGAGATGCTCGCTCAGGGTCAGGCTCCACACAGCTGCCCCCTGGAAACGCTCCCAGCTGCTGACACAACTGGGTAATTAGGTGAAAACTGCGGGTCTCAGGGGAAAGGCATCGCGGGGTCTCTAAGGCGTGTGCTGCTTCTAAGACGGAGCTAGAGGACGCTTTGCATACCATGATGGAGTTTCAACTCGTCTGTTGCATTAAGAATATTGGGTCTTGGGGCTGGAGTGATAGCACAGTGGGTAGGGCGTTTGCCTTGCACGCGGCCGACCTGGGTTCGATTCCCAGCATCCCATATGGGGTCCCCCGAGCACCGCCAAGAGTAACTCCTCAGTGCAGAGCCAGGAGTAACCCCTGTGCCTCGCTGGATGTGACCCAAAAGGGGGGAAAGAAAGAATATTGGGTCTGTGAAAATTGAACCTCCTCTTCCTTTAATTCCAAGCTTTCGATCCCTTGATAAGGGCATAAGAGGAAACAGAAACAGAGCATGAATTTTGTTTTTCCTTCCCCAATGACAACACATGACAAGGGAAATAATAAAAAAGTCATAAAAGAATGCACTGGTTTTGTAATGCTGACAAAGATGCCTTCTGAGTCGATTTGTCTTGGGCGAAAGGTAGTTCGTTGAATGGCTATAGCTACAATGACTTGAGTTGTGCGTGGTTTCTTTCCGGTTGTAAATCAGCAGAGTTTCTATAAAGTGGCAGAAGAAAAAAAAATATGCAGTTCCTTTAATAGCACATTATCGCTATGTAGATACAAACACTGATATGTGGATTTGGCGTCAAATCACTCCATGACATGTTTAGCGTATTTTATACTGACACAGCGTTCAATTAACAACACCCTCAAACTTACCTTTCCCACATTTCTAAAACCAGCTATTTTACTTCACTTTAAAATATAAATATTCGGTATGTGAGAGGGAATAAACTATGCCTCCTTTTTTTAAACTAACCAAGACAAGCTGTCATAACTTTAGCTAAAGTGGAACAGGCCTACAAAAGGATGCTTTTAAAATATTTAATTAAACACTATATACCAACCAGCATTCCAAAGGAATGGCCCAGTGGGAGTTTGGACCGTTTTCAGTATGGGAAAGTCAGTATAAATTATGTCACTAGTATTTGGGATAAAGTGCAACGCGCGAGTGACGTCATTCCCCTGGCTGCTCCTGACTGAGTACCTTTCCATTGCCTCCTGCTGAGAGCCCCCTGCTGCCTTTAGGGCCAAATCTCTAGGGGCACCTGAGTGATGGACATTCTGCAGCTTCTCCGTGCAGTCTGTCGGCATTTATGGGAAACAGGGACTGTCAAGCTTCTTGCCCGACTGACCTCGGACCTCTGAGGCCTTCAGGGATGCCTATATATGTCGAAAATCTTGAGATTGTATTTTGAGAAGAGAGTTTTGAAGTGTTGACAGTCTCCCATGGAAAAAGGACTTCCGTGTTGTCTGTCTCCCTTGGCTGCTCGGAGGCTGCGCCAAGGCGGCAGAGTAAGGGGGAAGTGGCCGCGGGTGCCAAGGGCCAGACGGAGGCTCTGGGGGTCTGGTCAATGGTGCCACAAAGAACAGGAAAAGCTGGCATTGAGGAGTTTGGGTGGGAAGCAGTGCTCCGGAGGCCAGAAAGGGGATTGATAAAGTAAGACAATGGGGACTATTCCAGGGTGAGGCCGACTGTGGACTGTGGAGGTGCCATTTGGTGATTTGGTGTCAGGAAATGAGTGGTTATGAAGAACTTTATGTAAAATGAAATTGTATCAGGTGATTTAAATGGGCTCCAGCAAGCCTACTGACACTTTTAAGGACTTTGCAAGGGACTGAAGGGCTGCTTGCTATCAAGGGAGCATGAAGGGGCATCAGTGATGGAAGGCCATAGTGACCCCAAGAGTGGGGATGGCCTTTTCTTCCTCGCCCATCTTGCCCCGTCTCTCCACTTCAGCTGTCTTTGGGTGTGTCACAGTGGGTGGGGGGCGCCCGCAATAATCCCTGCCCCCAAGAGACTCAGGGCCTCAGCAAATGGGGCTCGATTTCTAAATTTCTAAATCCCCCTACAAGTCTCTGGGCTGGGAACCGCTTTTTTTTTTTTTTGCAAGACAAAACAGTGGTGACACTTTAATTTGTGTTCAACAGTGGGGGTGGCGGGGAGTTAGCAGAACCTCCATGGAAGAAGTGCGTTATCCCCAGTGAGGTGATTTCTCTGGAAGATTTATTGATGTAATCTTTGCTGATAGGGAACTTTCTATTCAAAAGTCTCAACAAGTTTTTTTTTTTAAGTTCTCCCTATTAAAAAAGGCTTGATAAGGAACTGTTTGTTATATCTCATACTCCTTGGTTAAAATCTTTGTGAATGCAACCACAACTAACCAAAGGTTAAAAACAAATATGTATATGTGATATTAAGACTCTACACCGCAGTGCCTAAATGAAACTTTAGATTGTTTTTAGACTGTCTTAGGAAGTCACTAGTCATCTTGAAAGGGCATATTAATTTTGAAGAGCCAAGTTTTCTAAAGAATAAGCAAATCATGCTTTATTATTATTATTTTTTTTGGTCTTCCTAAATGTCAAAAGTTTGGGAGAGAAGAGGCATTGACTTTATGGTGAGGATGTATCATCTATCATGTATCAGAGTATACACATGAGCCAGGAGCACTGGCCTCCTCCCACTGACGTTGGGAGCAAGTGGACAGACTGGGTGCTCAGAGCTGCTCAAAGACCTTCTGGGCTGGTTGAGAGGAGAAACTGAGAGCTTCTGAGGTGTCGGCCCCGGGCGCAGAGGCCTAGTGGAGGGTGGGAGATGTGGTGGTGGCGTGATGACGTGGTGGGAATCAGAGGCCTGCGCCAGTACCAGTGTGTCGGTGACGGGACACTGTAGACAGGGACATCGTTCTTGCAAGCATCTCGTTCCTTCGCTGCTAACCCTTGTCAACAATGAAAGTGATGAGTGATGACAGGAAGGGTTTAAGGGCGGAACACAAGGGGAGCACTGGGCATGAGGACAAGGTGTGGCGGTGCCTCCCTCGTAAGCGCCCTGAGAGCAGATGGGTTTCCCCAATAGCCTGTCCAGGTCACTGGTCGCAGGTTGGGGACAGCGGGGAGAGGCCCAAGAGCAATGGCATTTGATGGATTCTTCCATATTCCTCAGCTCGGAGTGTCAGCGATCAACCCTGCTCCCACGTGGTGTGTTTGGGGGAAAATGTTTCTGTTCCCTTTGCTCATGAGCACTGATGAGCTGGGCACAAATGCTGAGTCCTCCTCCAGGCCTCCAGCTGGCCCTGACGGGAGCCTGAGAATAAGACTCCGCTCTCCAGGACGAATCAATCCAGACAGAGGCCTGCAGCAAGCAGTTTCGGGGGGAAGGGGCGCATCCTGACACGAAAGAACAGCACTCAACAAGGAATTTCTGGGTGAGAATCTATAAATGATAGAAAAATCCAGTGGATAGTCACTCTCTCTATGGCAATGAATTCCCTTCTAATTAATAGCAATATACAATAAAGATTATAACTTTCTTTGGTTTTTGATCTCTCCATAGGGATAGAGGCGATCAGATATGGATCAGATTATGAATTTGTATAGATTGCACATCATTGTTGAATATAACTTAGATTCATATAAAGTATAACAAATAACTTCTGGTTCTTAGCTAATTTTATCACTGTTTCACCCATAAAATACAGGCTATAATATAAAATTACTGTTACAAATGCACTTTGGGTTCAAAATTCAGGTAAAATTTCATACTTCATGTTGGGTTAAGTCAGCAATCAAATATCCTGGGCTGCTGATCACTGTATTCTCACACATCCTTCTAGGCAAGACCTCCATAATTCACTCATCTAAATGCTTGCCCCATAAGACAGGCAAGGGTCACATCTCACGGCTAACAAGCCCATCTAAGTCTGTCCATTTGTCTGTCTGTCTCTCTCTACACACACACACACACACACACACATACACACACGTTTCCTGGCCCCTTAAAGCAGAAGCAGAGGGTATGGTGCCACCAGCAGGTCAATTTGTACCTGTGAGGCGAGTGCATCAGCAGCCTGATGGCACCGTCAGGCTTTCAGATACCCCAAAATTGCTGCTGTGTCTTTGGCCAGACCCCAAAATCTTGGGGCAAAGTTTACCAAGAAAGTAATCGGCCAAAAGTTAGGTATGTGAGAGACATGCCCACAAACCACCTCTGGCTCAGCTGTATAATTGGAGGCATGGCCTCTCTGGTTCCTGATCAAACTGCTTAACGGCTATGATCCCAGAGACTCAGAAATGAATCTCGGAACCCAAAGGCTTTTGGCAGAAATGCATCCTGTTCCTGCAGAAGGTTACTGGCGCTGGTCCACTCCAGGTGGGAATAGGTTTCGTGCCTTGGCCTGTTCTCCTTGGCGGCCTGGTGACCACCATCCTCCAGAGAACACAAGACAGTCAGGTCTGGGCCTGCAGTGACGAGACACGTGGGGCCTCACCAGATGGGGGTGGAACCAGCCCTTTCCTCCCCATCCCAGCGAGACCCCAAGTTGCCACCTACAAACAGCCTCTCCGGCTCCTGATCAAGCTAATTAACGGCCATGATCCCAGAGACTCAGAAACAAATCTTGAAACCCAACGGCTTTTGGAAGAAATGCATCTGGACCACATACAAGGTAGCTGCCACCTCAGAGATTCTTGGAAAGCCAGGTATGAGCCGGCAGTGACGGGGCAACTGCAGTCTCATGGGAAAGGGGGAGCGGTACCGGCTCGTCCTTCACGCCCTACCGAGATCACGAGTTGCCCCCCATGAGTGGCTCTACGGCACAGTCATGGCTTCAAAGGCAAAAGAACTTAATCCAGAGCCCGGCAACTTGTGGCAGAAAAGTGAATGGATCATGCGTTAAACAATGCGCCATGCCTCCCCAGGAGGGAAAGGGTGTTGCTCCCTTTCACCTTTTTCCTGCCCAGCAGCAAGGTGGCTGCCGCCTCAGAGCTTATTGGAAAGCCAAGTATGAGCGGGTGGTGATGGGGCAACTGCAGTCTCATGGGAAGGGGGACAGTACCGGCTCGTCCTTCATGCCCTACCAAGGTCATGAGTTGCCCCCCACGAGCGGCTCTCCGGCACAGCCATAACACCAGACGCAAAGAAACCAATCTTGTAATTATCTGGCTCTTTGCAGAAATCCAAAATCGCGAGGCCACTATTGCGGCCACGCGAGATTATATGATTCTCATAACCAGCTACAGAAAACAAAGTATTTCACAATGCCTTTTCAGGAATTCTGATTGTTGGGGGGGGGGGGAATTCTAAACAATAATGGTGCATCTTTTGTCGAAATGATGAATGTAATCAATGTAGAGAAGAGTTAAGTGGAAATCATCTGCTTCACAGGCATTGGGAGGGGTAGGAGGGGGGTATATTGGGGTTCTTGGTGGTGAAAAATGAGTACTGGTGAAGGGAGAGGTATTTGATCATTGTGTGACTGAGACTTAAACCTGAAAGCTTAGTAACTTTTCCTACAGTGATTCAATAAATAAATATAGGAAGAAAAAATAATAAATAAATAAAATTATGAAAAAAAAAGTAAGATGGAGTTCATGCCCAATTCAATCAGCCAATCAGTGGCTGAATAAACAGCAGTACTCATACATAAAAAAAAAAACAGAAGCAAAGAATCCAGTATTATGAACCTTAGTCAGTGAATTGTCTGAAAAGAACAAACAACGTGAGATCATTCTTCTCTGACAAAATGCCATTTAATTTAATGTTTAATGAACTAGCTAAGTACTCCAGAGTGTTCTTAAATACCAATTAAAGAAGAAACAAAATTTATTTCCCTGTAGAAAGTCACATTTCCAAGGTTTTGGAAACAAAACTCTTCTGTGGCAGTATTCCATCTGTGACCACTCTCTCTGCCATATCACTACCATTCTGATAACATGTTAAAATCAACACTTTACCGTTCTCTCTCTCACCTCCCTGGGAGGGAGAAGCAGAATCTGGACACAAAGGAGAAAATGCAAATCATTTATGTGGAAATTAGTGTTCCTCTCAGGAAGCCTGATCAGAATGCAAGATAAAGTGCATTTAAATTCCATTCTAATGAACGGAAAATGAA